GGGTTTCATAAGCCATCTGGTTGGTTGGGTCCACTATTTGGGAAGCCTGAGGGGAAGAGACCTCTGGAGAGACCTAGACGTAGATGGGAGGATAATGTCAGGCGGGATCTATGGGAGAGAGGAGTTGAAGGAGACTGGATTTTGTTGGTCTGGTGGAGGGCTTTGGTTAATTCGGTGATGAACCTTCGGGTTCGGTAAGCCAACTAGTTAGTTAACAACATCAGCTATGGATGATACTGGAAATTTGTGCAATAAGGAATTAGCTCCGTGATTTTTACCAGGAAGTCGTCGTCTGTTACAAAAAAACAACAAAATAGACAAATGTTGATATTAAATACACTGCGATGTTACACTGTTCTCGGTTGCCTAGACATACAGGGGTTAATCTACTGCACAGACTTGAAATTTCGGTCAAGTTGAATTAAAGCTGTCTTGTCCGAAATGAATACATTGCATGTGAGGACTGTCTTGAGAAGGTCGGTGAGGTGGAGAGGCACTTGTGTGCTCTTTCAACATTGAAGGAGCCTCGTTCTTGTCTCCATTGTAATCTGGAGCATCTGTAGCAGTTCGCACACTGCCATCTATCGGAAATTCCAAGTAGGTCACCGTGCCGAGTGGCTTGTCACTTCAAGCCGGAAAAGAACCACTGCACGTGCATCAGGGCGGCGAAAAGCGATCGAGAATGAGCGATGGTTTGGCCATTGCACGTGAGGTGTGAATTGAATGTTGGTCATCGCTTTTCTTCCGTGGGTTTTGAAAGGAGAATCTGAAGTCAAATCAGCTGATCCTCGGAATCATATATTAAAATGCCAGTTCATCTCAGAGATTATGTAATTGATCGTCACGTTTTTGTGGTAAATAAGTACAAAGATTTAGACTTGTTTATTAAGGCTTTGACCGGGATGTTCTTTTGTTAAATCTTATGTGGTACCGCCTGATTCGACTTCTAATGGTTAAGTGAAGTGTTTTCTTCGCGGTACGGTCTGGATTCGTAAATATTATGAAGACGATCTTCGGCTTCGAAGGGTTAACCAGCTGATTTTCGTAATGGTGAGGTGTAGTGTTTTCTTCGCGGTACGGACTGAATTCGTAAATAATATTCAGACGATCTTCGTCTTCAAAGGGTTAACCATTTATTACATGTGATATGTGATCACACGCTCTGTGTAATATTTACGAATGGCGGGAGATTAAAAAATCGACGGATATGAGAATCGACGAATATCGAGGGCTGCCTGTGTTTAATCCAGCGTTTTCGAAGGAGTTGCGAGTCACACCGATGGTCTGTTCGGACAGCGACGTTGAGTGGCAAGAGGATTTATCCCGAGACCCAGTGTTTTGATGTTTCTGTTGCTCCGTTCTGCAGATGTCGGACGACGACCGGATGTCCCTGACGACGGCGGTCAGCGACGAGGAGGAGAGCGTCCACAACTCGCCGTACCGCGCCAAGCAGACAGGCACCGCTGCCGCGTCCTTCAACTGCACAGGCGCCGTCAGGAAGGCGGGGTGAGTCTGACGCCGCAGCGCGTGGCCTTCAAGTGTAAATGGCGTTGGGGAGATGTCATCTTCCAGTTCAGAATTTCCTTTTTACTTCCCATCTCATGTCTGAAAGCGTAAACATAAAAATATACACGACTGCAGTTTAACTAATTGGGAATGTGTAAGCGGGAGACTGGAAAATGATAGGATAATATTAAAATTGATCTAAACAGAATACGCTTTTGGGTCTGGTCTGGATTCATGTTGTTTTGGGATAGCGACCGGTGGGTGGCTGTTGTGAACACTGTAATGAACTTTCAGATTCTATATGATAATTTCTTCCTGCTTATATATTACATTTAGGTGCACCAATCAGTGACAAATTTCTGATATTTTTATGGGATCTTGACATGAAGTGTCGTCTCCCGACTGAATGTTTACTATGCACTTCATATTTTAATATTTTCCGTCAAATCACAATTTTTAATAAGATGATAAAATATAAAATATTTAAAATATCGAATGATATCGAATGATCGATTTACAAATTGGAACGTTCCAATTTGTAAATCGATCAATCGATGCGGAACGTGAAATGATATTTTAAATATTTTATATTTTATCATCTTATTAAAAATTGTGATTTGACGGAAAATATTAAAATATGAAGTGCATAGTAAACATTCAGTCGGGAGACGATGTTGCTCTCATGAAATTCATCTCAGCAGCTTTAATTCTGGGTTTGTCTTCGTCCTCCATCGACCAGGGAACTGGAAATGCTATTGGCGCAGTCTTCTCATGATTTTTTTTCTGAATTTGTTATGGTCTAAATACATTGTTTATTAGGCCTTGCAATTTCTAGAAATATCGATTTTTCTCTTCATATTTTGAAACAAAATATGAGACTAGAAAGCGGACAAACAGGCGGTGCCCATTGAATCTTGTCGCAGATTCCTCAGCGTCAAGAAGTGGCTGCTTCGGAAAAAGCACCAGATAGAGCTGGCGCGCAAGAGAGGCTGGAAGGGCTATTGGGTGTGTCTGAAGGGCACAACCCTTCTCTTCTATCCGTGTGACTCCCGAGAGGGACGCTCTGTCGAGGCGGCCCCCAAGCACCTCATTATCGTTGATGGCGCCATAATGCAGCCCATACCAGAACACCCAAAAAGGGACTACATATTCTGCCTCAGCACAGCTTTTGGGGATGCTTACCTCTTCCAGGTAAGTGAATCAGCTGATTTTAATGCGGTTTTTATTACTTAAAGTGTCTGAAACTGTAAAATTGGTATTTTGATTAAAATAAAATTTATTTTCCTCTGTGTTTCGTATGGTTTGTTTAACGGTTCTGTCAGCAGGTCACAATATGTAGCTTCAGATGACAGGATACTTAATAAATAATGTTAAGTTATGGTACTTTGCTGGTACTTGCCTTGTGGGACTGAGGAAAACTGCAAGAAAACCCTCAGTTAGGATACCCGGTCTCTGGGTCAAGGTTCGGACCTGGGACCTTCTGAGGACGATGCAGTGTTTGATCTACTAGCGTAATTTTATTTTCTGTGGTATTCCTGCAGCTGAAATAGAAACCAATCAGAATTTCCTTCATTTATTGCTTAAAAATATAATGGAATAACTTTTCAATGGATGTCGGACTCGGCGCCTTCTTTTCGCTTACCATCCCTCCCCTCACACGCGGGCTTGAGGCTGCCGTAAGAAATGGCAGAGTACAATTCTTAACGATTGGCTCACACCCGCAAGATGTATTTACTTTTAATTTCTTGTGGAATTTGGAAAGATAAGTCGACACATGGACACGCGTGTATTGATGTTTTGATACTGGCGTATCACCTGTATTAATTTGGTATTTTCTTCGCTGATGACAAAGGGCTTGGATAATTAGCTAAAAATTAACAAGAAACTCATGCAAGCTCCTTTAAGCCCCCTGGAACACATTTCTGGTCCCTAAGAAATGTACATAGAAAATAATTAATCCTTGGAAGTATCTTCTGTTCCTTTTCCTTCAAGAATCTGGTGGTTGTTCTTAAAACTAAAAATGCATGGCGATGTTCTCCTTCATTCGCCATTCGCCACTAGATGGTAGAATCTTGGCTACTTAATGATTCTTGATAGGATCCTTCATAGCGAGTTCATTTCTTTTGAGTCCACTGTTATGTTCAGGCTCCGTGTCAAGTTGAGCTGGAGAACTGGGTGAATAGTATCCATTCTGCCTGTGCGGCTGCGTTTGCACGTCATCGTGGTAAAACGGGCACGTTACACTTGCTGCAGGAAGAGATCTTTCGTCTGGAGAAGGCCATTGAATCGGTGCGTATGACTAGTAGTTGGTACATATTCCTTGAAGCAGTCAGGTTGCATATCATCAATTGCATTTCTGCATGATTAATCAGATGACTCTGCAATGGAAATATTGATCAATAAATAAACTTGTATTAAGAAAGGGAAGATTATTACGTTGTATGCGTCCCAATTCATGTAAACGCTGGAAGAAACACAGTTTCTGTGTGATCTTATATATAATTCCTTCACAGCGTGTAACAACTTACATTTAACAAAAGATTTAATCGATTTAAAACTGTTGAACAGTCATTAATCTGCTAGAAATATTTCTCACTTTTGTTCTCCATTCTGACTGATATTTTGTACTTACAAACCTGTAAAAAAAAAAGTGAATCTGTCATTCAATCTTTGCTGAAGGTTTTGCAGTTGATGAAGTTTTCTATACTGTTCTACTTTCTCTATGTATGATTTTGTCAAAATTGTGTGTTGTCTCCACCATCCCACTTGTATATCGAACCTTCTAATCCTCTTTGAAATAATTATGCAAACAAAATGAAGTGGTTCATTCAGATTTTTCTATTCACTGCATTTTTAGGTGTTCTTGTGCTGCCCATGTAATGGGTGGATGCATTTCTTGAATATTTTTGTGTTCCAACTCTCCGTGATGCCGTTGCGAACGGCCCTCAGCAATGACATCATTACCTGTGGCGCCTGTCTGTACACACATAACTTGAGAGCAGCTTAATGAATTTTCATTAAATTTGACGTAAATATTATGTATGCCATTGGATGCGACTCCAAATTTGTACCTTTATTTATTTCATACAATAGGCAGTACCAATGTAACACGTTCAAACTTGTGAGGTGGGACGGTGGTGCTGTCATCTGTCATTGGCCATATGAACTATTTGATATCACATATTTAAGATGTGGCATAAGATACACATTTGGAATTTTGTGCGCTGCACAGAGAACACTTACCCAATTTTGTTTCCGTAAGAACTTGTATTTTGCGATCTTTATTATTAAATTACGTTTCGGTTTATTTATCGAACATTTCGTCACAGAGTTTTTCAGTTGGAATGTGTGAGGTAAGAAAGGATCTACTCCTGTGCTGTTCCCTGTGAATTTGAATTTTAATGTCGTGCGCAGGACCACAAACTGAAGCACATGGCAGACCTACAGCAAAGCGTAGTGTCGGATCCTGAAACAAAGCAGCAGATCAACAACCAAATTGTTCAGTGGGAGGAGAACCTGGAACGCCTACACTGTGAACAGTTCAGATTGCGCTGTTACATGGCGAGCTTGCAGAGCGGAGAACTTCCAAACCCAAAGGTAATCCAAAGTCATCTTAATCCTGGCACAGAGACAAAATCTGTGGAGTGTGAGCGTCGAACGTGATGTCGTTAAACCTTCCAAATGAAAGTGTATTGAATATAACTGTAGTTTATTATTTGTGACCTCGCTAATGCATTCGGTTTCAGTAGTTGGTGAACATGCACATGCAGTCTTATGTACTGACGTGGAGATGAAATGAGTGTGTGTGATTCCGATATCAATGCCCAGTCAAAATGAACACCAGATCTCCTTGTTTCAAGAATCTAAAAGACCATTTTTATTGCTTTCCTTCACATAATTGATAAATTACAGGTGTTTTATTACCAACAAAAAAAAAAGCAAAGAAGCTAATTGAAAACTCACAGTTTTTTCACCACCGTAAATAAAGAAAAGCAGCGGAAAGTGTGGATGATTGACGTATAATATTTTATGACCAGTTAGACATTCTGTACGAACGTTCAATGCCACAAGATTTTACTGTTAGAGGTCTATAATATGCAGATGTTTCACACACAATGCTTTAACATTTTATGGGATTGATAATGATAATACGTTCCTGCATATATTATGCTCTTATTTCAATTTTGATATAAACAAGCAGCGTTAGAATTGTACTACATCCTCCTATAGTCCAGATTCGACACCTTGAGACTTTTGGCTTTTTCCAAAGAAAAAAATTATCTCAAAGGTAGATGATTTCTGTTGACTGAGACAACAGTGAACAGAATGCGAATGAGGATGTGGAGATGAAATTAAAGGTGTTGACACGGAATGGTTTTTTGTGTGCTGTCTTAAAAAAAAGGCAGCAATATTTTCATTAAAATATCTATCAGACTGACAGGAGAGGTATTATAATGTGAAAAGTGTATTCAGCCAAAGAGAAAGAAACTTTCAGAAGTGAACATCTTAGAATTTTAAATTTTTTGTATAATTGTCTGCCTGTTCTTATATGTATCAGGCTGATACTGTTCATTTCTTAGTATTTCTTGTGTCGCTGTGGATAGCGTTAAATTGATATGAAGTTACGTCTTCTAAAATGATCTCGAGAACTTACTTTCTTTCATAATATGTGATTAACAAGTGTTTTACAAAATGCCATTCTTTTAAATTGTTTCCAGAGTCTCTTGACCCACGTGTCTCGTGCTACAAAGAACACGTTGAACAAATTAGGAGTGTTCACCGTATCTTCGTTTCATGCCTTCATTTGCGCTCGGAGTCCGTCGCTACTGAACAATCTTCTGGCAGGTCGTGGTGCTACCAAGCGAAGGCCTCCTATGCTCTCGCGCTCAAATTCTGGCTCTAGCCGGCGTTCACTCCAGATGACATCAAGGGAGGAGAGTGAAAAGACTGTCAAAGTATCTCTGCCTGATAATCAGGTATTGGAAGACAAAATAGCACGTTCGTCATTAGAATCCAGTGCTAGGAATTGTCGGATTCAATGTTGGTCCATTACTATTATATTAACTACTGTTAGGCAAAATTTATTCCTCCTTTATTGAATGTACGCAGTGGTAGAATACTTTAGTGTCAGGTCTTCAAAAGACGTAGATCTGTTTGAATATTAATACCCGATTGCATTATCCACACCATCACATAATTTATGCACCATCAGTTTATGTTGTGAAGTTTAGAAAAATTGAAAGCAGACGAGGCGTGGAGTTACTAGAATGATAGAAATCATTTATCTAGTTGTTTTGTTATTTAATTTTTTATATTGATCATTGTTAAAATGATTTAATTATTTTTTTTCTGCCTCCAAGAAAGTAGAAGGTCCAAGTACCTCCTCAATCTGTGACTCTAATATTCTTTCAAAGCACCACTTAGACATTTTTATGTCCAGCGACAAATAAGTGGTGTTGCCGACTCCCCATAATTTCACTTCTAAAGGTTTCCGAAAATATACATTCAGTTTTACTCGATATGTGGACTTTGTCCGTCATCTAGTATTACAATCGGGACAAATTTTTGGAAACTGGAGCTGTTTATGGCACATTGCATTCTTCTGGGAATATTATAAAATAAACAGGCTCCAGAATTCCAGGCATACCACCTGCTATCTTTGTTAAATGTTGGTGTTCACCGAAGGAGTAACGCAGTTTTATTTTTAAAGTTTTAATAAAACACTTTCAGAAGATAAATATATACTGGAGGTATGTTAATACTTTGCTCTTCCAAACGAAGCCAGAACAAACCCTTACCCACAGCAACGATACACGGCCGAAAAGATAGCACCGAATATATGTTTCATCTGTTCTAAACTTGTCAGTTAAGTGTGATAATTCCTCAAGAGAAACTTATTTATCTGGTGAGTTTACTCATATGCTTCAGAGCTAAGTACTCCAAATACGAGGCGCGTCCTCAAAGTAAGTTTCCCTGGGGCCGTTTACAGAAACAAAACACAATTTCATGGAAATATTTATTGCAACAGATACAGCAAGTGTCCAGCTATTTTTCAACATATTCGCCACCGGAATTGAGACATTGGTCATACCGTGGGACCAACTTTTGAATACCTGGG